ACCAAATTTACAAAAGATGTTAAATGCTCTGTTGATAAATGTATTTAGAAGTTCAGTGCCTGGCATGCCCCCCTTTTTATCACATTCTGTAGCCCTTACGACATGAAGTAGAATAAGTAATGTAGCCTTTGGAGCCATAGGTTATCCATTTTGAGCTTTTTTTTTGTATTCAGAAGGCGCTTCCACTTTCAAACAATAGATTAGGCAGATGAAAAATATATTTTGGGAATTCATCGCGAAAAAGATAGTCATCACGACCCTTCCACAATGAGGCTTTTTTTTTTAAAAAAATTAGAGACGAGCTGAGCATTTTTTGGTGGACTGAACAGAGGATTTTTTGCTATCTAAGGGCCCCCCAATCCTCGCTTTTTATGAACCTGCTGCAGACCTGACCTGCTAACTATTTGAGACCTTAAGATTGAGGTTCGGCCATCTTACCGCAAACGGCAATCCGCTGTTAGCGGTTTCATGTTATCTGTCTGCCCACATTTAGAGATTAAGATTCGTGGTGGTAGCTCGTGGCTGCCATGTTTCTTTTTATGCATTCATTCACTTCTATTTTAGCTGAGAAATCGTCTTCAAAGTTACATTTCTATGAAAAATAGTTCAAAGCACAAGAGTTCTAAAAAGGAGGATTTTATCTCAAATGTGGGATTGTGATGTTTTAGAGTGCAAAAAAACCCTGCAGTAAATCACTTACCCCTAGAGCATGGTCTAGCCATACAAACATGAACCTCAAACAGCAAACCTAACAGCAAGGCACTAGTCACGTCACTTCTTGGCATTTGTGGTTCATGGGAAATGCCAAAAAACCTTGATCTTAAGGTCTCTATTCAGAGAGCTACCATGTCGAAGTTCCCCTTTTTACTTAGCTTTCCACAATCCCACGCATACGCCTTCCACAATCCCACATATACACAGACAATACTCAGCTGTATCTATCATTCAATGATGACTCGGCTTGTTCGCAAAATGATGCAGTTGAGGCAATGGAGCAATGCATACAGGCTATACGATTTTGGATGATCAAGGATAAACTACACCTGAATAATAATAAGACAGAGTTCATGATTATAGGCACCAGAAAGTAACTGGCTAAAGTGAAAATTGATGATCTTAGTGTGGGTGAGAGCATTACTGCACTTTTCATAACCACGGGAAGTCTGAAGTTCAAAAACCAACTGACATTTGCGTTTTTCCCTGCCGTCAATCATCTTAACGGACCTCTTAGGAAACAGAACTTTGCTTAAATGTGTTCTAAAGGTCAAGGTTAGTGATCTATGATTGGTGGATTTCGATCCGTTTTGTGTGTTTCTGTGTTTCAAGGTTCACTGCTTGTGATAGTAATTATGATTGACGGCAGCAAAAAACGCAATTGTGAAAGCAGCTTTTGAATTTTAGAGTTCACGTGTTTGTGAAAAGCGCAGTAAAGCTCCAGTAACTTCAGTTCGGAACTTGGGATCATGGTTTAACCAGAACCTGAGCATGACACCACACATTAATAAGATATGTAAAGCTGCGTCTTTTCATATTTACAATATAAGGCGGATCAGAAAGTACCTCAACAATGATGCCACACAAACGCTTGTTCACTCCATTGTCATATGCCGCTTAGATTACTGTAATAGTCTTCTCAATAAAATTCCCACGGTACACATGAGTAAGTTACAATGCATTCAAAATAGTGCTGCCTGGCTCGTATGCTCAACTCCGAGGTTTAATCATATTACACCTGTCTTATTTTCTTTGCATTGGGTACCCATTGCCTACCGTATCGAATTTTAAATCTTAGTTTTAACATTTAAAGCAATATATCAACTTGCGCCGTCCTGTATCTGCAATCTAGTTCAATTAAAGGAGAAATGTAAATACAAGCTTTATTATTATTATTATTATTATTATTATTATTATTATTATTATTATCATGTGGGTTGCGGATCCAGTCTTCTTGTCGAAGTGTTGTTTTTCGTTTTTTTCAGCAATGCAGTGCATGTGTACCTAAACATGCTTATAGTCCTTGCAAGTCACAGTACATGCAAATTTTCACTGTTTTTCTTCTCAAGAGTCCTAAAAAACGTGAGACATCTTCATTTTAAGATGTAAAAAACAAGACTGCCAAAGTTTGTTTGCATTTTACATGTGAATGAAATAATAGGATGATATGTGAAGTTCCCATTCAGCAGAAGGGGCAAACAGACTAACTAAGAGATTATTGTGGATGCTTTGCAAATGAACCCCTCAAAAGTATTGTGGCAGGGGCTGTAGCTATGGGTCTATGACACTGATTATTTAGGTTAACCCCTGAAATTTTGTTCTTGCATAATTTCTTAAAGACTTCTTTTGTGATTTTGACTTATAGGAAAGATAGCCTTGAGTCCTACGCCATACACAATAGTGTGTCAAGTGTGTCATTACGAGTTTTCAATAAGGACGTATCCTTACCAAAGCAAAATATCACTATTTGAAAGAACTTTTGGATAAAACGGCCATCTGCTGAAGAGATGAAATATCAGTGTAAAAAGTGTGGCAAGTGTTTTAGCATAGCAGGCAACCTAAAGAGACATGAAAGACTGTATAATGGTGAGACGCCTTATCAATGCAAACAGTGTGGGCATTGCTTTAGAGAAGCTGCTAACCTAAGGAATCATGAGCGGATCCACATTGGAGAGAAGCCTTATGAATGTAAACAGTGTGGCAAGTCTTTTAGCCAAACAGAAAACTTAAAGAGTCATGAAAGGGTTCATACTGGGGAAAAGCCTTATAAATGTAAAAAGTGTGGAAAGTGTTTTGGCCGAGCGGGAGACCTCAACAAACATAAAAGAACACATAACAAAGAGAAGCCTTATCAGTGCAAACAATGTGGCAAGTGTTTTAGCGAAGCAGGGAGCCTAAGATGTCATGAAAGAGTCCACACTGGCGAAAAACCTTATGAATGCAAACAGTGTGGCAAGTGTTTTAGCATAGTAGGAAACCTAAGAAGACATGAAAAATTCCATAGTGGAGAGAGGCCTTATCAATGCAAACAGTGTGGCCATTGCTTTAGAGAAGCTGCTAACCTAAGGAGTCATGAGCTGATCCACACTGGAGAGAAGCCTTATGAATGCAAAAAGTGTGGCAAGTGTTTTAGACATTCAGGAAGCCTTAGGAATCATAAAAGGATCCACACTGGAGAAAAGCCTTATGAATGTAAACAGTGTGGAATGTGTTTCAGCCAGTTAAGTGGCCTTAGGGAGCATGACAGGGTTCACACTGGAGAGAAGCCTTATGAATGCAAAAAGTGTGGAAAGTGTTTTGGCCGAGCAGCAGACCTCAGAAGACATAAAAGAGGGCATAACAAAGAGAAGCCTTTTCAGTGTAAACAGTGTGGCAAGTGTTTCAGTGAATCATGGTATGTAGTTGTCCATGAAAGGGTACACACTGGAGAAAAGCCTTATGAATGTAAAGAGTGTGGCAAGTGTTTCAGAGAATCAAGTTTCCTTAGAAATCATGAGAAGGTTCACACTGGAGAAAAGCCCTATTGTTGTAAAACGTGTGGCAAGTATTTTAGTCTACTAGGAAACCTTAGAAGACATGAAAGAGTGCATAATGGTGAGAAGCCTTTTCAGTGCAAACAATGTGGCAAGTGTTTTAGCAATGCAGGAAGCCTAAGATATCATGACAGAGTCCACTCTGGAGAAAAACCTTATGAATGCAAACAGTGTGGCAAGCGTTTCAGAACATCAAATCACCTTAGGCAGCACGACATGGTACACTCTGGGGAAAAGCCCTATTGTTGTAAAACGTGTGGCAAGTGTTTTAGTCTAGCAGGCAACCTGAGAACACATCGAAAAAGAGTTCATAGTGGAGAGAAACGCTATCAGTGCAAACAGTGCAACAAGTTTTTTAGTGTAGTATCATCTTTAAGAGCCCATGAAAAAGTTCACACTTGTGAAAAGCCCTTTGAATGTAAACAGTGTGGCAAGTGTTTTAGTTTAGCAGGAAACCTAAGGAGGCATGAAAAAGTCCACACTGGGGAAAAGCCTTATGAATGTGATCAGTGTGACAAGTGTTTTAGCGATTCAAGTCACCTAAAGAGACACAAAAGAGTTCATGCTGGAGAGAAGCCTCATCAATGTAAACAGTGTAATAAGTCCTTTAGGCGACCAGAACACTTAAGGGCACATGAAATAATCCACTATGGAAGACCATTTGACTGTAAACAGTGTGGTAAGATTTTTAGGTATGCTTCCTCTTTGAAAAAGCATACATGTAAGGGAGTCCAAACTGGGGGAACACGTTATCAGTGCAAGCTGTGCACTTGTATCTTCAGCTGTGCTGGGGACTTAGTGGAACATGGCAAGATCCATAAGAAAAACAAGCTGCCTGACAGCACTATCAATCTACGGACACGCCGGATAGCAAGTGGTTCAACAAATTATGACAGTGAAAATCAACTATCTGTATCTGCTGCAGGGTGCTCTGAGTCAAGCCAAGTTGAAAAACACAGCTGTTGGATTTGTCAGGAGGAGATGAGCAGTGAGGCACTACTTCTTGAACATTATCAAAATCATATGAGATATGTTACCGAGGACACTTAAGCCTGTTTGTCAATGTCGTTTGGAATTCAGAATCCATCTTTTGGTTTGTCAGTGGACAATTTGGCATGATGTCTGATATTTAAGCATTTATTGGCGGTTTACAATGTAATGAAGTATACTGGAAAAAGCCATAAATGACGTCTGATAAACTGTTAGATTTTCCTTCCTTACAGTTTTTTCAAGATTTGTGAAAGACCAGTAAGCGAATATCCTTCAACACTTCTGGAAAGGGGGACCTTATAATCAGGAATCTTAGCAAGTTTAAAGGTGATGCATCCAAAACGAGTGAAAATGTTGTTTGACAAAGTCACAAAATTTTGCCGACGTTTGTATGGAAGTGACCCCACCAGACAAACGTCTGTAAAATTCAGTGACGTTGCAAAGCTATAGCTGCGTTAATTTTCAACAAATGACTTTTGAACTTGGCAACTTTACCAATTTTTAGGCCTTCCACCCTGCCATGTTGATGGGCTTTTGCTAACCGGCCCCAGTATAAAGTTGATAAGACTGTGGAAGGGTCTGTTGCCTTCTATTATATGACTCTTTAAACAAAAAGATAGTTTGACATTGCACTAAGAGTCCCTTAGGGCTTTGTTCTATGCACCAGAAATATTTTATTTATTTATATTATAATATTTCCTTATTTTACTCAAATATGTAATTTGCTATGCTGACTCTTTGCTAGTCTATCATTGCTAAAAGTGTTGCAAAAACATTTCTTATTTTGCATGCAGTTTTGTGCTTGTCACCATTTTTGAAGTCGTAGACCTTATCATCTTGGGTTATTCCCGAAAAAATGGGCGCGCCCCCGAGGAAGGGCATGCAGGAAAATTTCACGGGGGGGGGGGGTGGGGGGGGGGGGTGGTTAACGTCTCAAGAGATTCAGATGGGACAGGGATTCTGAACCTACACCTACATCCTCGATCGCGAGTTACGTTCATCAATGTCTCCATCGTTTTGGAAAACTGCTATGCGTTTTCAAATTTTATTATTCTTTCAAACTGCAGCCCTCTAACCACATTTATTTTAAGTTTCCAGGAGCAACCAACGACGGTTTTCAGTAAAATATCTGTTCGGAGAAGCAAATATTGCCTAGAATTTTCTATAAATTGAGGACGGCTAAAAGTTTCTAGGTGACCGTTCCCGATTCATGGGCAATTTTTGAAGCTTATCTAATTATTTTCCTACGCTTTTCTGAAGTTTAATTTCTTACACTTCACTTCCCAGGTTAGGCTAATTTTCGTACAGAAAGGAAACCTAAAATTTACGGATTCAAAAATGTAATGGAGAAAGGAATCAGAAACGTTCTCACTTTCGTAGTACGTAAAATTGCATCTAAAATTTTCTGGAAAACAATACTGAAGCCCTTGTAATTTCAAAACGTCTGAAGTCCCCTAGAATGACCGAACAGGTACAAATTTTATAGCGCCGCCTAGAATCATTTCTAGAGATCCAAAAGTACTCTGGACAGCCTAAAACGTGTTTTCAATGTATTCAGGAGGAAACCATCATTGGGTGCCTCATGGTCCAGCCATTGGCTCGCCTTCGTTACCTTTGTAGAACCGACGTACGACAACTTAAAGCACAGGTACCCCAAGCTCATTAGTGAGAATCGTTGTTGCGCAACAGAAATATTACAAGGTTTTGTATAGGGATTTAACCGATCGTTATTTAGGGGTCAAAAATAGTAATAAAAATACATCAGAATTTCTTACCTTATCTCCTTGTCTAAATTTATGGCGTTTTCTTGGCATTTTTGGCCGTTTCAGGCCGCGATTCCAGCGAGTTTTAGTTCTGACGTTGTTCGTTATATATATAATACTAGGGGTACCTTCCGGCAAGTGCCAACGAGGCGAATTCGTTTATTTTTTGTGAAACGTGCCTATTCAGATCTTCGCGATATATATTTTTTTTTCATAATTTTAGAGGTTTACAATGGATTCCGCTATAGAAAAGGATGGCACCAAACTTCAAAACAACAACTTTGGCACACTCTAGGCTGTCACTTTTATTAGACAATAACAAGATATAGCTTGAAGCTTTGTTGGTAAATATGAGCAAGTTAGCACTTGTGTTTCATGGAAAATTCCATTGTATCAAAACTATAAACGTTAGAAAGAAAAATATAGTTCATATGAGGCCTTTGACTGCTGAAATTAGAAATAATAATTAAATTCCGAGCAACAGCGTCATCAGGGATGAGAAAAATATTTCGCGTGGTAATATACATAAGAAAAAGTTGGTGTAAAGTAAAATATGTGAAAAGCGCAAGAATGGGGCGGAATGTATCAGAGGTATAAAAATATAAACTTTAATAAATTACAAAGATCTAATGAGCGAGCGTCACAGGTCAAAGATTCTCTTGAAAGGCATAATGATAGTCTTCAAAACAAAAGGTTCGCAAATTCGTTGCATTCCTCATGGGAGTTTTGGGCTGTCTCAATGTAAATAAAAAAAACATGCTGGTTGACAAAATCTAAATACATTAATAAATTCTAAAAAAGGTCCGCAAATACGTTGAGGACTGGTTCAATGTAAATCGATCTGCGAAGAACACGCTGGTTCTTATTGAGTTTTGAGAATATAACCCTATACCTTGATCAACTACCGCTTAAAATTCAATTCACAAAGCAAAAGACAACACGGAAAACCCTGGTTCTGAGTCGAGAATCGAACGCGCTACCTCATTGTAAATCGAGCTGCAAAGAATAAGCTGGGTCTAACAAAAATTTGAGCGTAAAACCCTATTCCTTGATCAGCTGCTGCTTTAAACACAATTTATAAAGCAAACCAGAGCACTAATTGCCCTTTCAAACTAGAAATCGTATTAGAGCTTGCTCACCTGATAGGTCCTCTTGAACAGACAACGAACAGCTGCCCGCTGAATCACCCAATTTCGGACCACGAGTTTTAAAATACAAGACTATGACGTCAATACGCAAATATGGGGTCTTACTTATATAAATAAATAAATTGGTTTTTTGCTACCTTTTGCAGTGAGAACTGAATTACAGGTAGGGTCAGAAATAACGGGAATCTAAGACAATGAATACAAAATAAGTATGTAAGGCGCTTAGGAATCTAAATAGGAGGCATATTTGCACGTTACAAACTGTGCAAAACGGTCGGTGTTGGTTTGTTTGGGTACAATGTTGGTATTCCTTCTAAGATTGTACGGGGATTCTCTAGGCTGGGACCTACTTAAAATAAGCGCATACAAAGGGCTGCCAGGAGAAATTTTTGAGATAAACCTTATACATGCACTTTCCCTGCGCACTTGTAAGGAAGGCAGACCAGTCAGATGCAATGCCTGACTATATGGTATAGAAGGCACTATAATGCCTAGCGCACTCTTCTGAATATTCTCTAAGGCATTAGACAAATACTGAGGTAAGTTGGCAAATACAATACTCGCGTACTCGAGAATAGAATGAATGAGCGAGCAGTAGACAGCTAAGAGATCTTGCATTGGCAAGCCACAATTCTTGAGCACTCTGAGAGCATACAGTCGCCTGTTGGCCCTTTTGATAATCGAGTCGCAATGGGAAGCCCAAGAAAGGTCCTCCGAGATATAGACCCGAAGAAGCTTGAAGCAGGATACACGCTCGATAAAGGCACCCAAATATGGTCAAAATGCAAATTTTAGAGGGTTACGCAGAATTTGAGAGTTTTTGCCTACATCGTGCGGGATTATAAATCTGCCGCCGAGGCAACCTCGCTTCTTAGCTCGGTTGCCTCGTTGGCAATAAAGGGTGTTTCAAAAGTTCGTTCCGATTTTTTCTTCGCTTAAATTTCACTGATCATTAAAAATACATTGAATATCTGATATGTCCTCCTTTATGTTTTCTGACATTTTCTAGGTGGTGAGGAATAGAATGTACGAGCTCCCAAAGTGTGTCTAAGAAACATTTTTCCGGGCGAAGCGTAGTCACTCTCTTATCTCGTCCAGTGTTTTGGGGGCTGGATCTTTGTATGTTGTCTTGTCAACGATAATCGAGAACGTCTCTAGAGGGTTCACATCAGGTGAGTTTGCCAGCCCGTCGCCCTTTGCTATAAAGTTTGCAAATCCTTCTGGTGCGCATGTGCGCCGCCTTTTTCTTTTCAAGGCTTTCCAACCTTTGTTGGTCATATATCTTCATACTGTTGTGCTCGAAACTTTTATATTGTAAAGTTGAATTTTTTAACCTTTCTGCCCTATAGAATTTTTACGCATATACTTACAGCTTTTTCGATAACATTTCTCACGCATTTAAAAAAAACAACGGCCATCCACTCCTTGGTTTGTCTTCTAAAGTCTTTAGTTTTGACCACTTGTTCACTTAAATCGTTCAGACTTCTTCAACAGTTTACCAATTTCTTTGATTGAATAGCCAGAAGACTGTAAAAACCGATGCCTGAGCTCTATAGCACAAACAGTGTAGGCCTTCGTTTTCGTGAAGTAGTAAAGAAAATAAAAGAAAGGGCAAAAAAAAAACGAATTTAAAAAACCTACAAAATGGGCAGGTAAAATATGGCGGGGAAAAACTCGCGTACGTGCAAATCTGTGGCAAAACTTCAAAAATATTATAATTTCTTAAAATTTTAGTTTGAAATTGCTTTGAAAGGTTGTTTAGATAAATTTCTTACATGAATCGGTGTTCATTTGCCTAAGGAAGCATTAAATGCTTTGCGCAAAATACAATATAAAATCGGAACGAACTTTTGAAACACCCTGTATATCTAGCCGGATACATGAAAACCGCAGCAGCTGGCTCCTCGAGGCTATACACCTTAAACTGACTCAACTAAAGTAAATATCAGGCCCCCCTCCTCTGGTAAATATTGGCAAGAAACTCAGCTCTTACCCATGGTTCTCTTAAGGTGACTATCCTCCTGATTAGCAAAGAAATATTCAAAGTCCATCAAAAAGACACTCTGGACTTGGCACCCCCCCCCCCCCCCCACTTTCTGCCCCACCCCAGCCTAGCACGTGCTTGAAGGGAATGCTTTCATTGGCCAAT